CATCGATTCGACGATGAATTTGAGTCGGTGTGAAGAGATTTGTAAAACGAACTGTTCTTGCACGGCTTATGCTAATATGGATGTTACTCGTGGGGGGTCGGGTTGTGTGATATGGATGGTGGATCTTATTGATATGAGGCAGTTTTCTGAATCTGAAAGTGGTGGACAAGATCTTTATGTCAGAGTTGCAGCATCTGATCTAGGTATGTTTTTAGCCAATTTTTTTTATCCAAATTCACTTGTTAATTAATTTTTATAGATATTACATATATCTGTAAGGATCGGTTTTCAGCAACTTTCTACAGTATTTTACTTTTCTTTTTTTGCCGAAAACCAATCCTTATACATATGCGTAGGGCTTTTGCGTAAGGATTGACTACAACATGAAATGAGGTTTGAAACTGGAGTAGAAGTGAAATCTCTCTGGGAGATTGGTTATTTCTGTAAATTTCTCGTTTTTACAGTTACTCTAGTTTTAGGATAAAAGTCAGGTTTGCGTATATATTATAACCCCTCGAATCCCATCTTTTGAGGGTATACATTAGACTCGTTTGGTTTGGTTTGGTTTGTACTTTTTAGCTCGGGAGCTAAAAGTTATTATCAAATGGTCATTGACAACTTGTATGATACAACCCCCATTAAGGTATAGCAGTAGCACTGTTGGTTCTTGGATGGTATATTTGTGAAAACACGCTAGTTTTTGAGTCAGATAGTTGTAGTGTGAGAGTGATAAGGTAAATGACACCCACTTACTTATCGGCTAAGATTCTCGGTCTCTACTATGTCTCTTATTGATTAAGATTTTTTAGCATTGTCATGTTCACGTGATAAGGTAAACGAAACCCGATAAGTCATTACCTAGTAAGCATTTGATAAACGACCCCTTAGACTTAATGTTTATAACTCAAAACGCAAAAAAAAAAAAAAAAATCAATTTGAGGGTCATGATATGTGTATAACGTAACTTTCGTGTTTATTTGCTCATATTTCAATGAAGAGGAGTGGTAGTTTGTTAATAAAAATGAGATTAAAGATTAGACTGATTCCAGGCCCTCGTTAATCAGTAATAAAAATGCGATCGACTCCAACCATTCATAATTGACTAGGAGATTAGTCAGTACGCATAAGCTAGCCTGAATTTTGTTGATAAAAGTCTGCCTCTTAATGATTGTAAAACCCTCTGAATGATTTTGTATCATGGGTCTCTCTTAACCATTCAGTACCATAATTTCATTGTAAACGATTACCAAACAATTATATTTTATTTTACACTATATCATGAGAGCCTCTTAATTATTCTGACCACTTCATCAATATATATAAAATATATATTAATATAAAAAGAAATAATTTAATAATTTCTTTTTTAACCAATGAATTCAATATTTGACTAATTATATAATTATTTGTTTATTAATTTTTATATTATATAAACTTTGTGTGGGAGTAGTTGTAGACTTGTAGGTCTTCGTAAGTTTTCTACTAATCATGTGATTTTTGACTAATATCTCATATTCATGCAATACATGTGTTCTTCACGGGGACTTGACAAAAATAACCCTACAAATTTTGAAAATTACATTTTAAACCCTAAAATTTACAACCTTACCCTGAAAAACACAAAATACCAATGAAAATCGGCCCGATGTCTCATTAAATCGTCATTAATGTATCAAATAATAAGTTGTCTTCACTAGAAAACAAAATAAAGGTCAAAATCACCCCATATGGGTGATTTTCACCTTTTGAGGGTGATTTGCTCATTTTCAGATATAATATCTGATTTTTGTCTTCCAAATGGTATATAAGTGGGACCCATTCATACCTTATTGTCAAAATCACCCTCCAGGACGATTTTGGTGGTCATTTTGTGAAGAAGCTTTGAAAAGTAGTCATTTTGCTAATATACAGCGTATGAAATGGTTATTTTGGGTAATTTCCCAAGAATATATTCGATTCGAATAGATCTGTCATTTTTGAAGTGTTCTCCATATTTAAGATTTTTATACTCTCTTTCCTACTTTTTCTGGTTTGGAGAATCAGTTGCAACAAAAAAAAAAACATGCCCAAAATCCCTAAAATCTTATTTTCTCCGTTTTGGAGAATCTATTGGAGATGCTCTAATAAAAAAAGTTCTTTCTCATAGTAATCATTTTTTTGGAGTTCTTCAAATTTGGAGAATTTCACACCTTCTTTCCTACTTTTTTTTATTAACCTGGATATCCAACCCGCTATGCGAGCCAACTAATCCTAGGGAGACCACCTGCTTTGCAGATAACCTAGAGTCACCGCATTTGAACTTCTGTGGCCACAAGGGGATTTTTATTTCTTCTTGGATTTGAACCTGAGACCTCCTAGTACTTTTGACTTTTGGAGTCAAGCTCAAACCAATCAGACACCACCATTGTGGTTTACTTTATCCATTTTGTTGAAAGGTTTTAGAGGATCTGTTATCAGCCTCACGTATCTTATCGGGTAACCTTCTCGAGTATCAACATGTATTGGTGGGTAAAAGTCTTTTACCCAGTAAGAGTATTAATTTTCTCACTTACCAGGTAAAATTCTAGTTCATTGTTATGTCATTGTTATGCTCACCCGGTAAAGTAAGTGACACTCGATAAGTGTTTATCCAGTAAATATTTGATAAACGACTACTTAACCTTTTAGACAATTTAGCATGATTAGGGGGGTAAAAGAGTAATTTCATGTGAAGTGTTAATTATAAAGGGAATATACAAATAAAAGCATTTGGTTGGAGTATTCTCGGTAAAGGTAAGGCCTCTAGACTCTATATATTCTACTCTTTTTATACGGAATTAAGATTGCTTATAAAAACAACTTATTGATTTATCTTGGTGTAACAATGGTAATAAACACTTTTGAGTGTTTGGATAAATAGTTTATACCAGTGCCAAATCGGTAATAAGGAGATTTTGAAGAAGTTAAACCTTACTAACTTATAATAAGTTGATAATTTTTTTTTTGAAAAACATAAGTTATTTCAAATAAGCAGTCCCAAACACCCCCTTACTTCATGTGGAATTTACTGGGTTGGTTTTATTTGTTTCGGACTTTTATGCCAAATGCACTAAAAGTTGTAACCATGATTTTGTTCATTGCAGAAGAATCACCAACGACCGAAAGTGCTAAAAATGGCTCTAACAACGGCAACCGTGCTGTTAAGATTGTCGTCATTGGTGCCGGCATTTGTGCAGGGCTAATCACTTTACTGATACTCCTTTACCTGAAGAGGAAGAATAGACGACGGTTGATGAAATCCATTGCACATAGAATCGGTAATATTGACTTTACAAGTCAAACCCTTTATTGGCTTATAGAAGATCGGGTAGATTCAAATGAGAATGATAACTTTTTTTAACAAAGGCAAATTGCATGAAAAAGTAACGTACTTTAACTTGATTCCTATTTTGGGTAACGTACTTTCAAAACTTCCATTTTGGTACCTAAGATGTAAAATTTTAAACATTTAAGTACCCGGGTAACCGGTTGACCGATTACCATGCTGATGTGACGAGTGATGTGGTATACAACTCAGTATTTTTTGCTATCCAACCCAATTTTGTCCCATCACTTGCCACATCATTTGAGAACCTTTAAAATTTGTGAGATTCGTGAGATCTATTACAAGACACTAATTTAAGATAATTAGAAGGGTACTCGCGTAATGTTGCGAGACAAATTTTGATTTTAATATTTAGTTTTTATTCTTTGTTTCTATTGATATAATACGATTTTATGTAGTTTTGAGAAAGCGATAATGATTTTATTTTTTTTAATAAAATATAAATTTGAAAATACTATAAAATTTTAAAAAATATATATATCGATATTAGTATTAAATTAACCTTTTTAAAAGTTCTTGTATTTTGGTGTAATTTTCTTAATTCAGTTTTTTAATTATAATTTAATTTAGGTTTAGTAACAAAGAAATTTAATTTAGGTTTAATAATATAATTTTTTTATAAAGATAATACCTAAGTATTATGTTAGAACTCAATAATTATCTCTATATATATATATATATATTATATATATATATATATTAATTTAAAATGAGATGTTTATCCAATATTTGATTATGTTTATATGCAGTTAGTTACACGAATTCAAATATGGAGCTTTAATAAATTGTACTTATGCACAATTTACTTATAATCTTAAATTTTAAGTAATATACATCAATAACCAGTACTTCGTGCATAAAAAAATAGTTTTTAAGAGTTTTTGTCAAATGTTTTATAATATAGTATAGATTTATAAGAAGGTGTTCACAATATGTTTACTTTATGTGCATCTTCAATTATATACGTGCGTGTAATATATTTGTTATGATCTTTATTAGGTTCGAGAGAAAGAAGTAATGGTGAAACCGCAATGGAAGAACTCGACCTACCCTCGTTTGATTTTACGACATTGGCTATGGCCACAGACAACTTCTCGAACGCAAAAGAACTTGGTGAAGGTGGGTTTGGATGTGTTTACAAGGTAAATATCGTACGATACAAATATTTAAAAAAAATGATATTTATAGCAAAGAATCACAAATAAAGACTGATATCATTGTTGGTGACGATATCAGGGTACGTTACCCGGAGGGGAAGTCGTAGCTGTAAAACGACTCTCAAGAGTTTCGGATCAAGGGATTGATGAACTTACAAACGAGGTTCGATTAATTGCGAAACTCCAACATAAAAACCTCGTTCGGCTTTTAGGTTGTTGCATTGAAGTCGAAGAGAAGTTGCTAATTTACGAGTTCATGGAAAATAGAAGTCTCGATACGTTTCTTTTTGGTAATTTTCTCGTAAACTTTGATTCTTTTTGTTACGTGACACTTTGGATTTTGTCGTTGAAGTTTAACACGTTTTACGAAATCCGTTACAGAGAAAGAGAAAAGCACAAAGCTCAGTTGGCAACTGCGACTCGATATCATACATGGGATCGCTCGAGGGCTTATGTATCTTCATCAAGATTCAAGATTTAAAATCATTCATCGAGATCTGAAAGCAAGTAACATTTTGCTTGACGAGAAAATGAACCCGAAGATATCGGATTTTGGTATGGCACGGATTTTCGGGAACGAGGAAAACGAAGCAAAAACAAAGAAAGTGGTGGGAACGTAGTAAGTAATATACTGTCGTCCTTTATGCATTCTATAATTACGATATCACGTGCGTATCCTAAACCAGTTTCTTTTTTTCGTTATTTTTGTAAAACAATTACTACAGTGGTTACATGTCACCGGAATACGCAATGAACGGCCACTTCTCAACAAAATCAGATGTTTTCAGTTTCGGGGTTTTGGTTCTCGAGATAGTAAGCGGTCAAAAGAACAGTGGATCGTCTTACACAAGTAGCGAACTTAGCCTCCTTGGACATGTAAGTACAAACAATGATAGATATTTTTTACCAAATGCTTATTCGGGTAAGTAAACACCAAGTTACATTATCTTACCTGGTAAGCACTTAGCGGTAAAATTCAACACTATCGCTTACTTACCAGGTCAGATTCTATTCACTAAAACACATCCTGTGCAACAATTTATCCCGGTAAACGCTAACCATGGTAAGAGTCCTCGTTCTCACTTACCGGGTAAGGCTCTCGATTCTTGCTTTCGCTATTACCGGGTAAGATTTTTTGTCATTGCCATATTAATCCAGTAAAGTAAAGTGACTTGGTAAACACTTATTTGAGTAGGTGTTTGGTAAACGGCACCTTACTGGATGAATATGTAAGGACCAAGAATCTTACCCGGTAAGAGCGAGACAAGCACCAAGAGTCTTACCGGTAAGTGAGAGTGACGACTTTTACCACGGTAAGCGCTTACCGGATGAATTATGGCATACGATACCGTTTTGGTGGACTAAAATCTTACCCAGTAAGTAAATGATAGTATTAAATTTTACGGGTAAGCGCTTACCAAATTGGGCCTGACCCGGCCCGATGCAGACCGATTGGGGTTGGCTACGGGGCCGATTTTTGGCCCGTACTAGTTAATTGCATTTATGTCTTTATATTTCTAAATCGTAATACTTTTAACGTGAACGATAAATTTTCAGACATGGACGTTATGGAAAGAAGGTAAGGCGTTAAAACTAGTGGATGAATCGATTCGGGACAAATTTTTGGAAGACGAAGCAATAAGATGCATACAAATAGGGTTATTATGCGTTCAAGAACAGAAAGAAGATCGGCCTTGTATGTCAAAAGTGTTGTGGATGTTGAACAGCGAAATCGCTCAATTGCCGCAACCGAAATACCCCGGATTCTTTATCGGAAAAAGACAAATTAAAGCCGAGTCTTCGAGCAAACAAGATGATTCCGTGACCATAAATGAAGTCACAATCACGATGATAGATGGTAGATAGTCGAAAACAAGGTTAGCCATCATCGCTGAATCGTCTTAGAAGTAAGGACCCGGGTTCGAATTCGGGCACCAACCACTGCGATGGTCGTCATATCAGTGTGGTGGTGCCGTTCTAGAAGGTGACGTATACCCCTTTTTCGTATAAATTGTACATCATATTTTCTCTTTTCTGTAATTAACTTTTTTTTAATCTATTTTTTCGAAAAGACAGTTTACGTTATATTTTATTTTTAAATGGTCGAATTTCATAACTTGACCGTAAATGAAACGGGTATCGAATGATAGGTTAAGACCATCCCACCAGCAAAAGTAACGGTAGATTGTGAACAATGGGTGGAAGGTCGATCAATTACTGGAACGCTAACTACGAATACTAATTTTACTTTTACGTTAGAAGCTCAAGTCGTTAGACTTCGGTAAGAGTCTCGACATCGACCAATTTTATTTCTTTCCACCGTGGTTATTTGTGAAGATCTTGGAATTTATTTATTGATTTATTGACGATATGTCAGATGATTTATTATCATTTGAGATATTTTGAATTGTGGGTTGTTACAGTTTGATACTATAATTAATATTAAAATCTCCAAAATGAAGAAATTATTACAGACAAACGTAATTTGTAAAGTTTTTTATTTTCAAAAAAATATAACAAATTTGTTTAATATATTCTTAAATATCTAAAATATATATATCAGCGAGTATAATTTATAATGGGGTGGGCTAAATGCACCCCTATGCATTACTTAATGCACCCCTATCATGAATTTCTTCCTCACACACATCAACATCAATGTATGCTTTTTACATTCCCAATGCTTGAAATGGCCTTATTTTGACATGAAAGGGGGTGCCATTAGCACTCCCCTTTATAATTAACAAAGAATTAGTTGGGAAATCGTACCTCCTTTTCAAAAGTGCACTTTATTTGTTTGAAAAATGAGCACAATTTCATATATATATCAGATATAATATTTGATTTTTGTTCTTCAAATGGTATACATGTGGAATTCATTCGTATCTTATAGGGCGATTTTTGTGGTCATTTTATGAAAAATCTCTGAAAAGTGATCATTTTGTTAGCATATCGTGTAGGGGTGCTCAACTGCTCATGGGTTGGGTTGATTGAATTGAAGACATTTGAACAACTCAACCCAATGCTTGTGGTTTGGGAAAATCTTAACCCAACCCAACCCAAACCAATCCGTATGGATTGGTCGGGTTGATACTTTGATATATTAAAATATTTTTTTAACTTTGAATATGTGATTTCTGCACTCATAATTTCTTTTTCATCATCAACCATTTGATACAACTTATCCATATTTCTTACGTATATCACATTCAGTTAATTTTCTCAATTTACATATATATGTTCACTGTTACTGAACATATATATAAATGAGTTATATAGAGATATGAATAGATTGAAAATATGTGTATATGAAAAACATACATGATAATGTAATTGTTTAATATATATATTACTAGAAATTCAACAATCATATTAAATCCAATAAATAAAAGGATATCGGGTTCATCGGGTTGGGTTGAGTTCAAATAATAGTAACTCAATATCAACACAATACCTAAAGTTTGACAATTTTACAACTCGATTAGACATCAGGTTGTTTCGAGTTGAATTATTTTACATTGGGTTGGGTTGGGTTAGATTGATCGGATTTTTAAACACCCTTAATATCGTGTATAAAATGACCATTTTGGGTAATTTAAACATTTATTTTAAACCTACCAATGTTGAAAATTCAAACTTCATTAGTCATACGTATCAAAGAGGTTCATTCATATGATCAAAATTACAATCATGAGCTGACACACAATTTTCATGGTTTTAGACTTATTGATTAAGATGTTTATGAATAAGCATCTGAAATCAATTATTAGGACCTTTCATTTTGGCAATTTGTGAACCGTTACGTACAGGGGTGTAAATGATACGAGACAACTCGTGAGCTACTCGAGATCGACATGGTCAAAACTTGATCAATATTCGACTCGAATAAGCTCGGCTCGAACTGGAATAGACATATTAACGAGTCGAGTCGAGTCGAAAAAGCTCGTGAGATACTCGATTTTTTTTATACCCAATAGGTGACTCTTTAGCATATTTTTTGTGTAAGAAATATAAGCATCTTCAATGACAAAAAAACTATTTGACAGTTGCTGAATAGTTCGATATAGGATGATTAAGTGGTCAGAATGATTAAGAAACTGTCATTATATAGTGCAAAATGAAATATGATTGTTTAGTAATTGTTCAGAATGGAATTAGGACGCTGAATGGTCTAGGGAGACCCAATATGCAAAATCATTCAGAGCGTTTTACAATCATTAACAAACATATTTTTTTTTTATCAAATAAGATTAACCTCTTTATCGATTCAGAAGTTGTCATTTAATGCAACTATTAAGAGATAAACAAATAACCTCAAATTCATTAAAACTTTTGTCGAGTGCACACGTTAACAAAAAAATAGTTTTTTTTTTTATGTTTTCAGCTTGGCTATCCCATACGTTTTGAAGTCTTCCCCTTCGGGCGAATGTGATAGCGCCTTCACGGTATTTTTAATATCGTCAAATGGTATGAATTTAAATTACTACCTCCATTTCCCACAAAACATGGACTTTGAAGTCGATCTAGATATCTCAGATTGACAACTTTGTTATTTTCATATTAAATATTGTAGATTGTTTTTGTAAACAATTAATTATTTATTTTCTATTACAGTTTTTGGACTCGGGATATTCATAGAAGGAAAAAAAATGATAATTTTCCATCTTTTTAAACTAAAACATACTTTGATACCAAATTGTCTTTTGACATAGCGGTATGTGAGTCTTTTGCCTCCTAGGAGATCAGAGTTTCAAACATCACCAAAGGTGAGGAGAGTGTATGTGTTTATTTCTGAATGTTTTATTTTGTCAAAGACCTTCCAGCCTAGTGGTAAAGGCGTGGGCATGGCATAGTCATAAACCCGAGTTCGAGCCTTGGGAGGGGAGTGTTGGCGACATTTAAGTGGGGCCATGTTTAACCTCCAAATTTGCCGGGGATTAGTCGGGCTTTGGCCCGGACACCCTTACAAAAAAATAAAACATAATTTGAGAATTTCATACTATAACCACGTTCCACGTCACAATTTTATTGGATTTTTCATTATAGAAAGTAACTTTCACACCTAATAATATACCGAAGTGGCATATGTTATTTATAAATTATATTTTTATTTTTCACAAGCAATATATTACATCACTCTTTATTATTATAATAAGACAACCAAAAGCCAGAATATCAGTTCTACTTCTATATCCGTCGTTTCACAATTTAACTGCTTTTACACTACATATTCATTTTTCTGCAACCAATGTATTTTAACTCCCGTTATTCTGACAAAATAAAACATTCATAAATAAAATTGTACCATAATTATTGTGACACCTTTTAACACTTTATACTGAATTCAAACTTATTGATGTTTTCTTTAGTACTCAACAACGAAATATATAATCAAACTACAAATAATTAAAATAATAACAAAATAAAAACCACTAGGATGGTGCTCGATTGGTTTATGCTTGTACTCCAAATGTCAAAAGTATCTGTAAGTCCTAAGTTCGAATCCAAGAAGGAATAAAAAATTTCCTTATGGCTATGTAGGTTCAAATGCGGTGACTCCGGGCTACCCGCAAAATGAGTGATCGCTCTGGAATTAGTCGGCTCGCATAACGGGTTGAATATTGAGGTTAATCAAAAAATAAAAATCCAGAAAAGACATGAGACTAGGGGTGTACGCGGGCTGGGTTGGGCTGTTTACAACATTTTTACAACCTAACTCAATTATGACGGTTTGAAAAAATCTCAACCCAACCATTCAAAAGTATAACCTAACCCAACCCGACCCTTGCGGGTTGAGGCGGGTTAGTAGTTACATAAATTTGACAAATGAAGTAATTCATAAAATTTAAGTTTATTTACCATACTATAAAGCGTCCTATCTAAAAATATTACAATAGGTTTATAGGACGTTTTTGGATGTTTCAACAAGTGTTTTAAAATGATTTTTAAATAAAACGTCGTATTAGTTATTTTATAGAAACATTTTGACCCATAAACTAATCTATTTATAGGATACCTATATTTATATGATGCTTTTTCAAGTCGTGTCGTATAAAATAACTAATACGACACTCTATTTTAAAGAGTCATAAAATTTGTTAAGACGCACAAAATTATCCTATAAACATATATAACTCTTTTAAATTAACTTATTTTTCTTGTTTCGTCCTATAAAGTATCATATTAGGACGCTTAGACATTTTAGGCATCCTATAAGATGTAATGTTGTTGTAGCAAAATGCTATAATTGAGCATTTTCTTTCCAGTAAAGTACAACATAGAATGGCGGGGTATTTAGATTGATGGATTCGTCAACCAAATATCTATCGATATCATTCATATTCTCCAACATATCAATTTGTTGTTGCTGCATAAAAAATTCCAATAATTAATTATATTATTTGTCATCATTCTTTGATCGTGAATCTCTTTTGGTAACCTACACGTTCAGATAAAATCAAATAAAACATAATATCAATAAAATTTATACATTATTAATATATATACATAATAAACATATATATATATATATATATATATATATGTGTGTGTATAAACAAAATTTTATAAAAAATAGATATTAGCGGCTTGACGGGTTGAGTTTAATTGGGTTGTTAGCGAGTTAGGTTAGACGGGTTTCACGGGTTGACGGTTTTTTGTACACTCCTACATGAGACCTTATATGTATAAACCATAAGGACCAATATTGTAATTTACTATAAAATCAAAAGAATACATAAACATCCATAAAATTTCCAAGAACGAGATCAACAAAAATCCCAAAAACCCACCAAACCAGTTAACGCAAATTCTGTTTCTGCTTGTGAACATCGAGATTAATGGAAACCTTCGACAGCCATGGCAGCACCTTCATCTTCATTTTCTCTCTCTACATCCCTTTTCTCTCTCTAGCCACTGATATCATCACTCCCACACAACCACTCGCCATGAATGAAACTCTAGTCTCGTCTCGTGAAGTTTTCGAGCTGGGTTTCTTCCATTTCGGCAACAATAATCTGTATCTCGGCATTTGGTACCGCCAAATTCAACCGAGAACGATCGTTTGGGTAGCAAATCGAGACGCCCCCATTAATTCATCGTTCGGGAAGCTAATAATCGGCGACGATGGCAACATAGTCCTCGTAGATCGAGCCGAAATCGCAATCTGGTCATCGAATCAATCCGTACCGGTGATCAACACGGTGGCGCAGCTTCTGGATTCCGGTAACTTTGTCCTCCGTCGCGAAAATGACGAGAACACGAAGAATTACATCTGGCAAAGCTTTGATCATCCGACGGATACTCTATTACCCCGGATGAAGCTAGGGTTGAGCCGAACAACCGGAATCAATCGGGTTCTGAAATCATGGAAGTCCAATAACAATCCGGCTTCCGGCGATTATTCATTCGGAATCAACATCCATGGATTCCCGGAGTTTGTGTTACGGGATAAGGAAACGGTTACAGCCAGGACCGGGCCGTGGAACGGGATAATGTTTAGCGGTACACCGGAGAGGGAGGGGGTGAGCATAGTAAACTTCAATTTTCAGAACACCTCCGATGAGATTTATTTTTCATTTGAAACGGTAAACAGTTCTGTTTATTCGAGATATCTCGTAAGTACTTCCGGCGACCTTCAACGTTTCACTTGGACGCCGGCCGCCGGCACCTGGAGTTTATACTGGAAATTCCCGTGGGATAGATGTGATAACTACAACCGATGTGGGCCGTTCGGCATTTGTGATGTAAACAGTTCTCCGATCTGCAAGTGTTTGAGCGGATTCCGGCCCGGGTCAAATGGGTGTGTTCGTAGCTTCGGGTTGGATTGCGGGTCGGACGGGTTTCAGCAGTTGAAGAACATTAAATTACCCGAGGGCTCGAAAGCATTCATTGACGAGACGTTGAATTTGAGTCGGTGTGCCGAGCTTTGCAAACGGAATTGTTCTTGCACGGCTTACGCTAATATGTATGTTCCGTGGGGCGGGTCGGGGTGTGCGATATGGGTCGTGGATCTTATGGACATGAGGCAGTATGCCGAGTCCGAAAGTGGTGGACGAGATATTTATATTCGGGTTGCGGCTCCTGATCTAGGTACGTCTTTTAGCTCTGATTTGAATAAAATTGAGTTTACAAGGAACCACCAATTTCTAAGCGTCTTGATAGACTGTTTTATAAGACTTAATCTATAAGATCAAAAAATAAAACATCTATCCAAAGGCATTGTAATAAGTTTACAGGACGATTTATTATGTTGTAACAAGTTTTTTTAAGGACATGTTTAATATAAAGCGTCGCATTAGCTATTTTATAGGACACATATGAGAAAATGTGTTCTATAAACTCATATTTTTACAGGACACTTGTTTACCCTACCCTAAACCCTAAATTCTAAACCCTAAACCCTAAAGTAACTATGATTTGTTCATTGCAGGCCACTTACCGACGGGCAAAAAATCTAAAAATGACAATCGTGTTGTCAAAATTGTCGCTATTGTTGTCGGTATTTTTGCAGGGCTAATCACTCTATTGATACTCGTTTATCTGAAGAGGAAGAATACAGGACGGTTGAAGAAATCTGTTACATTAAGAATAGGTAACTTTGACTTTACAAGTCAAACACCTTACTTTATAGTTGGTAGTTGTTGAATGGTTTGATGCAGAATTGATTAAGTGGTCAGAATGATTAAAATGCTCTTATAAATAGTGCAAAATGAAATATAATTGTTTGGTAGTTATTCAAAATAAAATTAGGGTGCTGAGTGGTTAAGGGAGGCACAAGATACAAAATCATTCAAAGGGTTTTAGAACCATTAAGAGACAGACTTTTTTTTGCCAAAAAAGATTCACTTCTTAACGATTCAGATGAGTTGTCTCTTAATGAAACTATTAAGAGGTAAACAAACAACCCCTTAGATTCATTAATGTAACATAGAATGTATTTCTAATTGCATTACCCATAAAAAGTTTCATTAAAACATGTTCGTTATAATCTTTAAAATGGAGAAAAGAGAGATATCAAAATCTCCAACAGATTTTTTCGTATGTAATTTTTGAATTTGGAGATTAAACGAAAATAGAGTATGATCATGATTAATATGTTCTTTTACGATCTATATTTAGGTCCACAAGAAAGAACCGATGGCGAAACACAGATTGATGAACTCGACCTACCCTTGTTTGATTTTACGACATTGGTTATAGCCACAAACAACTTCTCCGATGCAAACGAACTTGGTCAAGGTGGATTCGGGTGTGTTTATAAGGTAAAGTTTTGTAATATATATATATATATGTGTATATATGTGTGTGTATAGAGAGAGTTGAGATCACTTGAGACTAGCGTGTTTTCATAAGACTTGTGAGACCATTTTTTTACATTTGAAACTTTACAACAAAACACTGTGAAGGTAACATTTACAATGTTTTTGCTGTGAAGGTAACCTTCACAATGTTTTTGTTGTGAAGGTTCGGATTTTTTTTTACTTTCATAGTGTTTTGCTGTGAAGTTTCAATTGTAAAAAAGTGGTCTCACGGGTCTCATAAAAAACAGACTGGTCTCACGTGAACCCAACCCTATATATACATATATGTGTCAACCCTATATATACATATATGTGTGTGTATGTGTATGTGTATGTATGTATATACAAGCATTTTTTTTTTATAATTTTCTAATTAATAAGATTCAATTTATAATACCACAAAATAATTAATTGGAAAATAAAATCTTATATAAATTAAAAAACCTCTTATTTTCTCTCTTCTCTCTCATTTCACTTTTTTTATTAACCTGATGTCCAACCCGTTATATGAGCCGACTGGTTCCAGGGCAATCATCCGCTTTGCAGGTGGTCCGGAGTCACCGCATTTAAACCTTCATGACCACAAAAGAATTTCTATTTCCCATTGGATTCGAACCAGACACTTTTGAGCCCAAGCTCAAACCATCGGGCACCACCTTTGTGGTTCTCTCATTTCTTCAAAACACATACGTACACACACATAATTGAATTTGCACATAAGATGAATATATTGTGAACATTTTTTAGAGATATTACTATAGTTTGTAAACACATTGTGAAAACAGTTCGAAATCTACAAGATTTAGTATAATTTGTGAACACCAACTAAATCAGTAAAACTAAATTTATATGTATATATATATTTTTTTTTTTATTATTTCATAAATAACGATAAAAAAATCTTAATCTCATTAATTAATAACATTAATTATCTTAAATTAGTGGCTTAGGATGGATCTCACGAATATCACAAATTTTAAAGTTCTCAAATGATTAAGTCAATATGTCTGTGTATGTGGATGTTAGAACGAGAACACCTTTATTTTACAAAAACACGAGGACATCACAATATGATGATACATATGCATGGGGACGTGGTGATGTGGTGAACGTATTGGCCCACAACCTAGGTCGTGCCACGACTCTGTTTTAATGTCACATATGATAAACTATACTAAAAGGGTGTTTTTTGTAAAATGAAAGTATTGCCGTTTGAACCCCCCCCCCCCCATATATCAGAAGGGTACTCATGCAATGCAACGAAATATATCTCGATTTTAGTGTTTTGTTTTATTCAGTTTGTGTAGATGTTTTAATACAATTTTTATGTTTTGAGAAATGAATAATGTTTTTGTTTTTGAATAAAATACAAACTTGAAAATATCATAAAATTTCTAAAATAAATATATCAATATTAGTGTCCAGTTAACTATTTAAAGTTCTTGTTTTTTTTTTTGTGTAATTTCTTTAATTCATTTTTTTCATTATAATTTAATTTAGATTTAGTAACGAAATAATTTATTTTTGATTTAATAATATTATTTTTTATAARAATAATWAYTAAGTATTYTGTTAGAACTCAATGATTATCCTAATTATATTWTARATTTTTTATATTTAAAATGAAATGTTTATTTTATATTTGACTATGGTTATTTGCAGTTAGTTACACGAATTCAAATATAAGGCTTTAATATGTTGTACTTACGTACAATTTATTTGCAATATTGAATTTTAAGTAATATGCATCAATAATCAGTACTTCATGCATGAAAAATGGTTTTTAAGAGTTTTTGTCAAATGTTTTATAATATAGTATAGACAATATTATATTAGCTTATGCACAATTAAAACAATAATACGACATTAACGTTGTTGATGATATTAGGGTACGTTACGTGGAGGGGAAGTCGTAGCTGTTAAAAGGCTCTCGAGAGTTTCACATCAAGGGATCGAGGAACTTAAAAATGAGGTTGAATTAATCGCGAAACTCCAACATAGAAACCTCGTTCGGCTACTAGGTTGTTGCATTGACGTTGAAGAGAAGTTACTGATTTACGAGTTCATGGAAAACAAAAGTCTCGATGCGTTTCTTTTTGGTAAGTCTCGCAATTTTTTATGATTATTTTCTTATTTGACACTCGGGTTTTCTCACTGAAATCTAACACGTTTTTTTAAAATCCGTTAAAGACCAAGAGAAAAAACCCGAACTCAATTGGCAACTGCGACTTGATATTATAGACGGGATTGCTCGAGGGCTTCTTTATCTTCATCAAGATTCACGGTTTAAAATCATTCATCGAGATCTCAAAGCAAGTAACATTTTGTTAGATAAAAAAATGAACCCCAAAATATCAGATTTTGGTATGGCACGGATTTTCGGGAGCGATCAAACCGAAGCAAAAACTAAGAAAGTTGTTGGAACATAGTAAGTATCGTATTGCGGTTCATTATACATAAGCACACAAATTAGAGTAAATGCGGTGGTGCCTAATTGGTTTGAGCTTGACTCCAAAGGTCAAAAGTACCTGGAGATCCTAGGTTCAAATCCAAGGAGAAATAAAAATATCTCCTTGTGGCCGCGAAGGTTCAAATGTAGTGACTCCGGGCTATGTGCAGGTGGTCTCCCTGTGATTAGTCGGCTTGCATAGTAGGCTAGATATCCAGGTTAATAAAAAAAAGAGTAAATTACGTTTTCATCTTTGTGGTTTGTTGAAAATTGCTATTTTCGTCCCCGTAATTTTGAAATTATGATTTTTTTATCCCTATGGTTTACAATACATCGTTGTTTTCGTCCATGTGATTTAAAATTCATTGCTATTTTAGTCCCTCGTATTTAAAGGTAGGACTCAGTGTCATGAACCAAAATAGCAATGAATTGCAAACCATAGAGACAAAAGCACAATATAGAAATCACAGGGATAAAAATGTAATTTACCCTAAGAATTATATCACGTGCCTTCTTAGACAAGTTTCCTTTTTCTCACTGTTTTTCCTAAAATTATTACAGCGGTTACATGTCACCAGAATACGCAATGGATGGCAATTTCTCAACAAAGTCAGATATTTATAGTTTCGGGGTTTTGGTTCTCGAGATAGTAAGTGGTAAAAAGAACAGTGGATCACTGTACACAAGTAACGAACTTAACCTCCTTGCACATGTAAGTACCAAGTACCAACAGTGCCAGATCCAAGAATTTTTCAGTATTATACTCTTTTTCCTCAGAGAAGCTACCAGATACACATTTAAAATGGTCGTTTTTTAACCTAAACGGAAATTTTAGGCATGGACGTTATGGAAAGAAGGCAAGGCTTTGGAACTAGTGGATGAATCGGTTGAAGCCAAATTTTTGGAAGACGAAGCACTGAGATGCATACAAATAGGACTGTTATGTGTTCAAGAACAAGCTAAAGATAGGCCTTCTATGTCAAAGGTGGTGTTGATGTTAAACAGTGAAACTGCTAAACTGCCACAACCGAAATATCCTGGATTTTTTATTGGGAAAAAGTATACTGAAACGGAGTCTTCAAGCAAACAAAATGATTCAGTGACTGTAAATGAAGTCACAATCACTGTGTTAGATGTCAGGTAGCCTAAACAAGGTTAGCTACCGTAATTGAATTGTCTTAGACAAGAAAAAGCGCGTCATTCGTAAGGCATGGATCACACCATGGCGCGTGCGCGCACACACACACACACACACACACACATATATATATATATATATATAGAGAGAGAGAGAGAGAGAGAGAGGAGCAATCAAATGCAAATCACCCACATCCATCGATTTCATTGTTTAATCTTATGAACTTGTTTCATATAATACTTTTTTTGACGAAGTTGTTTCATATATGATTATGAAATTGTTTCATATAATACTTAATTATTTTTATTGTGGAGGACGTTAAACAATTTCATCAAGAAATGAATTACTTGAAACAATTTCATCATATTAAACAATTTTATGAAAAAGTTTCACTAAATTAAACAATGAAATCGACGATTTTCATGGTTTCTACTAATGGCGTGGTTTGTGTTTTATCCCTCCCTACATATGTATCGATAGAGCAAGGTTCAAATATGCAGTGAGAATGTAATAAGAAAAGGTTGATGAAATATTCATATGTGAATCATTGAAAAAATCTACTTGAAGATGCATATATGAATCCATATAAATAACATTTAACGTCGGTTCCCGTATGCATATTCAAATAGATTTTTTGGGAGTTCTTTCAAATAATTAACATATGAACCTTCTCTTAGACACAGTAAACCTATCCCTATTTGATAGAAAATGAGTTTTGTGAGTTCCTTAAAAACCGTAAGTAGCAAACTATCGATAACTTTCATTACGGTTTTAAATTGATTAGAAAGTTATTGGTTTAGTCTGTCACTTCGAGTTTGAGAGGTTACAAAAACTATTAGGGGCCGTTTACCAAACACTTACCTGGTAAGCGCTTACGGGTAAAATCTAACACTACCGGTTACTTATCGGGCAAGACTTTAGTCCATCAAAACGACATTATATGCAACAATTTATCCAGTAAGTGCTTATTATGGTAAAAGTCGTCACCCTCACTTACCGGGTAAGACTCTTGGTCCTTGTCTCCTTCTTACCGGGTAAGATTTTTAGTCTTTATCATATTCATCCAGTAAGGTAATGTGACTTGGTAAACGTTACTCAGGTAAGCGTTTAATAAACGACCCCTAAATAGAATATTTGGTAAACTATAGTCAATAAAAATATTAAATTAAAATATATAATAAACTAGAAAGTCACAACAATATATTATAAAAGGGTAGAAAGATGTGTAACCCATGACCAAGCTTTTGTTTTCTGATATGATTTTTTTAAGCATATGATATATATATATATATATATATATATATATAAAATAATAAATGCAATAAATAAATTTATATACCCTTCTCATTTTTGGTGAGTTTTGAACCTTTGACTTTCTAGGAGACTAAAGACTACAATACCACTAGACCAAAAACCCTTTAATAATATGAACCTTTCTTGTTAGCTTTCTTTTACCACTTTTTTGCTTTTGGTAATACAATGTTTGATTTTCTATATAATTTAAAAAAAATTAAATCTAAATTAAATTCTTTAAAATATTCTAATAATGATAAAATATTTTAAGAACTTATTTTGTAAAGTAACCAAAGGGTCTCTGGCCTAGCGGTATCGTAGTCTTTAGCCTTCTAGAAGGTCAAGGGTTCAAACCTCACCAAATGTGAGGAGAGTGTGTAAGTTTATTTGTTGCATTTGTCGTATATAAATATTATATACTTCAAAAAAAGTGTTAAAGTAAAAAAATATATTAATTTCTTCATGGAAAATGTATTGCTCCTATTCTCTGTATGATTATAAACCAGATCAAACTAAACAAACACGGTATATCTTTTTAAAAAATAAGATATCATAAAGGAGGATGTATGTAGACCGTCTTTTACCGTAATTACTGGTAGAACAGTTGTTTTCCAGAGTACCTCGAATCTGTTCAAATATACGAGCAACAAGAAAAGAAGAATTGATGCTAGTAATAATATTAAGCACCAGAAAAACGGAGAAATAAGCACAAAGAAACATGGAAAAATACAAGTAAAAAATGCATATCACCTTTTTAGGCATTTTTTGGCAAAAATAAGCTAACTTATTTTCTGGGTACATGTTTTAATGCACATAAGCTAGCTTGTATTCTAACTTATAGAAATACTAATTGGGTAATGCTTTGATAAGTTGTTGTCACTTTTTTCAATTAGACCCTTTATCAATATTAATTATTATTTATKACTATTAATTATAAATAAATAGTAATAAAATTTAAACATTAATATTTATTAATTATTTATTTTAATTATTAATCATTTATAAATAT